GAGGTTGAAAGACCTGCTTAGTGTCTTCTTCTCCTTCTTTTCCTTCCTGAAAGATGAGAGGGACGATTTGCTGGATGTGTGCTTGTGCTTGGGGCCACTGAGAACTGTAGCAGGTCCATTTCCGGCTGACACGGACACCGTATGGCCCATCGTAGGTTCGTCGGATTGCCCCGCATCTCGCAAGACTTTGGCTTTTGCCTGAGTAGCCGGCTGCTTACGCTTTGGTAGTTGTCTGTAAAGACCTGTAACCCGCTCCATGCCGGGAGTGTTCTTGTATGAGGCAGCCCATTGCCCGAAAAGCTGTTTGCATTTCTCTTTCACCAAGGGATCGGAGACCGGGTCGGTCGCAGCGATTCGTAGTCGTTCCAGTAAGGGCTCATCTGCAAACTCCCGCAGAAAGCGGTCGCCGGTGTTCTGGATTAGGAAGTCGAGGATTGTAAGGGCTCTCAATTGGCGGTGAAGATTGCCATACTTGCTGGGAGGGCGTTAGAGCGCTGTCGAGCAGAGGGAGTGAATACACTGACAGCTTCTTACGCAAAGCGCGACTCGCTTCTGTAGGACCACTGGCCTGGATGCGAATGGCCTCGATAAGGTCCACGATTCCACTGGAATCTTCCACCTCATATTGTTCGCTGGTGAGGACCTCGATTTGGACCGTCACAGCCGAATACGGCTTCTATAAATGAGTACATCTGTTAGTCCGTGAACGAGGGAGTGATGGAGCCACATTTATATCTGTGAGTTTGCAGATAGATGTGAGTGTTGTGTAATTGACACTGTTCTCAATGCCAATTGGGCTAGGCCGCGGGAAGTTGCCAAATAGACTTACCGAGGAGTGAAACATGGTGAAAGCACCGGACGAGGGAGCGTATAGAGTCGATATTCAATGACGACGACAGAGAAAGACAGCCCCGCAAGTATTCAGATATGTGAGGACAATGTTTGGAACTCTCACATGCGTATCGAATTGTCACCAATACATACAGGAGGATCGACCCGGTTAAGGAGAGGTGGGTCGCGAGACGAGACGCAGTGGATTTGAACCCCCTTTGTCCTCTTGGTGCTCACAATTATATGCCGCCGACAAGCAAGAGAGTGAGCCCACAATGGTCTTACCCAACAGGGACCCTTCCCGGTGCCTAGAGAGATAGATATCTATCCAGCGCGCAGCGGGGATGAAGCAGAACGGTGACGTGTTAGGCCAACTGGATAGCCGCTGTGCTGCCTTGGGGGGGGGGGGGGGTACAAAAGGACCTGGTGCACTAAGAGGAGTAGCTTTGCATTGGCACACTACTCGGCAGTGAATTGATCTCGCAGACCAGCAGCGTTGGAGCCGTTTGAGCTGCAGCAACTGCAAGAGACGAAGGATTGGACCGGCGCCTCCAACGTCATGCGGTGTTGATTCCATCCCGATCTCGTGACTGCCCCTCTTGCCTGTCCCAATTGGGACAAGTGCGGGGGAACTTTCCGACTCAGTGCCTGATTTGCCTGATGTGCGCCTGGGGCACACTCCAATGGCCCACGCCGATCCCGGGCTTCCTCATTCCTGCGAGTTTGAAAGGACAAGCATAATCCCACGAGCATTTCTGACCCCAGTGGTTGGACCTCGCTTGACGCAGGAACTGCTTGAATAATTAACACAGACTGCTCGTATCCTGTTGCTCAACTATTCGCCACCGTTAGTATCCCAATTCCATGGGTCTCTGGTCAACGAATGCGGCGGATCCTTGCTCCATTCGCAGGCCGCGTACTATCTCCATCTTCTCCCGTCTGGTCCTCTGCTCCACTCTGCTACTGGGTGTCAGCTTCATCTTAAAAACCCGCCCTCATCTGCTCCCATCCCTCCCCCACCTATCCCCCTCCTTCTCCTCCTATACCCAACCCACCACCATGTCCTACCAACAAGAACGCTACATTGCCGAGCTGGCCGTCCAGCGTGCCACCCTCCTCACCCAGAAGGTCTTCAACGAAAAGGCCAAGGGCACCGTCTCCAAAGATGACAAGTCACCCGTTACCATTGGCGACTTCGGCGCCCAGGCTCTGATCATCCAAGCCATCCGCAAGAACTTCCCCAATGACGAGATCGTCGCCGAAGAGGAGGCTAGCAGCCTCCGCGAGGACAAGGCGCTGAGCGCCGAGATCTGGAGACTCGTTCAGGATATCAAGTTGGTGGACACCGAGAGTGACAACCTTCTGGGAGGCCCTCTGCCTAGCGAAGAAGCGATGCTGGACATCATCGACCAGGGCAAGAGTGCTGGTGGTGCCAAGGGACGTATCTGGGCTCTGGACCCCATCGACGGCACCAAGGGTTTCCTGCGTGGCGGTCAGTACGCCGTCTGTCTCGGTCTGATCGAAGACGGTGATGTCAAGGTTGGTGCCATTGGCTGCCCTAACCTGCCTATCAACGATGCCGAGACCATGTCCGCGGGCATCGGCGCTGAGCAGTCCAGCGGCACCGGCAAGGGTGTCCTCTTCTCCGCCATCCAGGGTGTTGGTTCTATCAGCCGGCCCCTCACCAACGGTGCTCTCGCGGAGAGCAAGTCCATCTCCATGCGCCCCGTCCCCGATATCGCTCAGGCCGTGTTCTGCGAGGGTGTCGAGGCTGGTCACTCCGCTCAGGATGACAACGCTGCCGTTGCTAAGCTTCTCGGTATCACCTCCCCCAGTGTGCGTCTGGACTCGCAGGCCAAGTACTGCTCGATTGCCCGCGGTGCTGGTGACATCTACTTGCGTCTGCCGGTGCGGAAGGACTACCAGGAGAAGATCTGGGACCACGCCGCGGGTGACCTGATCGTGCGCGAGGCTGGTGGTCAAGTGACGGATATCTACGGCCAGAGACTGGATTTCAGCAAGGGCAGGACCCTGGCGGCCAACAAGGGAGTTGTCGCGGCCCCCAAGGCCCTTCAGGACCAGGTCATCGGTGCGGTGAAGACTGTCCTGAAGTTGTAAGGGCTAAGTGACGATCAAGGGATTTTTTTATCATGAATGTAATAGATTCTCGATCAGTTCTGGCAGACCGTGCACGCTAGATGCGTCTCTAAAAGTACATAAAAAGAAAGGATACCAATTGCGAACCAAAAGAACCGTGCTCGGATATACATGTACAGAAATAATAAACACAGCTTCGTTCCCCCAAAATATAGACGCCAATTTCAACGAATCTTCTTATCCTTGAGCTTGATCGTCTCGCCGTTGACGAAGATACCCTTGCCCTTGTAAGGTTCCGGCTTGCGCCATTCGCGGATCTCCGCCGCGAACTTGGTCACAAGCTGCTTGTCCACACTCTCCAGCAGGATACGAGTCGGCTGAGGTGTGCTGGCCTTGACACCCTTGGGGATACCCAGCTCAATGGGGTGCGAGTATCCGACCTTCAGGGACACGAATTGCTGACCGGGGTATTGGGGCTCCACGGTGGTCGCCGTGGGTTCAATGGTAGCTCTGTAACCGACACCAACGAAACTCAGAATGCAAATGTGACCTTCCGACACTCCGAGGATGTGGTTCTGTAGATGGGCGCGCATGGTTCCTAGAAAAACAATCCCTCGTCAATTACGATCCAGCAATGAATTCATTTCCAACGGAGTAACGCACCCCACATAGCACGCTGGTGAGTGATCTCTGAGTCTTGAACGGCAAGAGTAGCTTTGCGAAGGGCTTCATCGTAGTCGATTTTCACGTAGGAAGGGACGTTCAGCGACAATTCACCTAGCGCTCAAATGTCAGTTTCGCTCCGCTTTTCCGCCGCCGCCGTTATGAAGTGTAGCCATTGCTCCTTACCCAAGGGTCCTTTGACCTCAACGGCCATGTTAGGGAAGTCAACCGACTTGGCCTTGGTCTTGGGCTGAGGAAGGTCGATGAACTTCAGGGACACCTCCGGGGGCACCGTGATCGCGGCGCCGCCAACTCGCGATTGTACCGGGGACGTGGTCGAGAAAGGTTGTGTCCGGAGAGGGTGAGAGAAGGCAGGGACGAGGAAGTTGGGCAGAGGTCCTTGTCTCAAAGGACTCCGCGCAAGCTGCCTAAAGCAGCTCTGAGACAAGTAACATGACATGGCGACGGTAATTGTGGATTTGAGGTCTGGATGAGTGCTTGGGAACTCCGATGCCGACTGATTTTGTCCGGAGATCTTGCACGCCCGATGTGGTTAGTGCGGGGTCACGTGATGGTTGTATAGATGGCATGCGCTCACTTCCCTTTTACTTCCTCCACATCACAGAATGTTGTTTGATTAGCTGTGGATTTGTTTTCTCTAAGCCCTAGTTTGACTTAATTCAATTGTCTTATTGATTGTTCCAATGTGATCATCGGGTGTCTCGTTCCTGTACTACACCTTCAGATGTGCTGTTGCTTTGACTGTTGCTGAGATCTTCATTGCTGCTTCGTACTTTTAGCTCGCAACTTGTATATCATCCAATCGCTATTCCATTCTCTTCTCTGCTTGATAATATTTGCTGTACTTACTACCATATTTTTTAGCGCTTTGATACCGCTAATATCCCCAGGGTTGCGACATATCACCACAGCCAAAATGCCGAGAAGCTCAGGCATTAGAACCCTCTTCACATTGTTACGCTACCTATTACTAATACTAAACATCTGCAATGCCACACTTGCTGCTAGTTCAATGGATGGTGCGTCTGCTTACACCCTTTGTTTGGTTTACGCTAACCTGCTAGCAAGTGCTTTCGGCCGAAGACCGGAATTCCAACATGGACGTCGATCTAGCCTCTTTATTGACTTCTAAAAACCAACAGCGTGAAGTACTATTTTCAGATGCACTTGGACTTCTCCAGTCAATGCAGACTCTTCCATCTTGCCATCAAATGGCAGTTTCAAAACTGGTTACTTCCTGCCAGTCGATCGGGGGCAGATCTGACAAGCCGGACCCACACACATTTACGACGCTGGAGCACATCCGCTCAATATACGCGGCAAGACTTGCCATATGCGAGCTCAATGAGGCGGGTGCTGCAGTTCCCACTTCATGTATTCCGATAACTATGCGGCTGTCGCAAAAGAAAGGGCTCTTCGGGCTGTCCGCCGGTTATAAAACACACTTCAATGCTGCAGACACCGTTACCAAAGGACAATTGGAGTCCTGTCTCCGTTCTCTAGAGTCACGGCCCCAGTGGTGGACATCATATAGTAATAGTAGGCAAAATGCCGTGGTCATATGCCAAGCCGCCAGATTCGAGAATGAAAGGGAGGAAATCATTGAACTCCACCGGTCTATTATTGAAGGCACGATAAAGCTTGATCATGGGCTTCAGGAAGCATTAAAAGTGGCCGCAACTGGGCTCTCTCAATCTAAGGAGTTCCTGCAATCAGTCGAAGACATGAGAAGCAAGCTGGTAGTCAGCATGGAGGAGACTGAGCTGCACTTCAAAACTAGGTTCGAGAATTTGATCCTCGACATGGGTGTCCACGTTGGCTCGATCCTAGAGCCTGTGGTTTCCACTATAAAGAACCTACATAGCAGCACGGCGTCCCTCGATAAGGTCAGTAGATCACAACTTGCTAGTGCTATGGTTGACGTATAACAGAATATAGCGAATGCAGCGGAAGGTGTCAACAACTTACGGAACATCTTGAAGCTCGTTCAGGATGAAGGCATAGCATGGGGCCAACAGCAAGCAGTGACTCGACAACAGGATGCTCTTGCGGTTAGTGACCTAGTTTCAGACGTTCAAGGCAACATGGAAAAGCTGTCTGGCACTGTAGCAAACTTCGACTCTGCCCTAGTAAGCCCTGCCTTTCCATAAAACTTCTGGAGATTGACTGTGGTAGGAATGGCTTGCAGGCAGGTTTGTCCATATACTTGAGCAAGAGCAAGACATATCTGAGGTTAGCATTAGCCTGTTGGAATGGGTAATTAGCTAACCTTCTCAGCGCCTGAGTAATCTTGAAATTGCCCTAAGTGGATCTCAAATAATCGCTGAGGAACTGCGCAGCGCTCAGCTAGGGCAGACTGAACTCCAAGAGCATATCCTCACAAATATGCGGATCTCTCAAGCGCTTGTCGATAAAACAACGGCCGCAGCTGCGAACCTGCAGACAGTTGTCGACGACACTGTAAAACGATTTGAAAATGTGCCTACTTCAAGACGTCTCTTAGGCTCATACCCTACACCCGTGTTTAGCCTTTTAATCGGCTTTGTTGGTGCACAAAGCCCTAGGGCAGCCATAGTTCTACTCGTTGTTTCCATATGTACGTATTCTATGGTCTATGCATAGCCTAGGCTTGTTTCTGACAGTGTTGATCACAGATCATTTCCTTCTTGATTCATGACAACATGGTCACGAGCATAATGTGACATTTTATACTATTGCTGTCTTATATCTATAAAATGGTACTCAGTGATCAAAATGATACACTACACGATGGTCTGGCTTTCAGTATATTTGCAATGAGCGATAGCACCTTAATGTAGCACGAAGGGACTGTCAGGACCGCTCCCTACACCGGTGTAAGAGACCCTAAATCTCTGAGAAGCAGATAATAGTAGCGGGTCCTGTAGAAATAAATGTCATTCACCCAGAAATAATCTACCTGAGAATAGAGATATTGACTACTTAGAGTTCAGGCTCCAGGCAAATTATGAACAAGGGATGAGATGAACTGCCTGAGCCATTAGGGTTAAACTGGGCAGAAAACAGCGGTATGATGTGGCAGAAAAGCGCCCGCCGATCAGCAGTCAGTCTCCCTCCACCCTTCGCCGTTCCCTCCCAGCCTCGCTGATCTCGATCTCAACCTCAATTGTCTGAAGAAAATCTGTGACCAGGCGAATAAATATTTATACTGTACGTGCTTCATTCCTACACTGTCAATTATATCCATTCTTTCCGGAGACATCAATCGCAACCCCCGCAGCAACGTCTCCGATCCACACGCAGACCGCCTTCGCAGCTGGAGCGGGCATCTGGGGTTGCGGTGTTCTCCCCCCAGAGCGCCACCTTCGAAGCAAGGTTAGCTGGCTTGATCTCCCCGAGACATTGCTGTGGATGGCGCAGGGGGTGGTTGCACACTCTGAAGGTGGTGCGACTCCTGCTCGGTGGAAGATCGAACACGATGCGTTTCCTTTCTGCCTGGTGATAAGCTGACTTGCTCCCCGCGACTAGCGTTGAGCCTTGATCGCTGGTTCACCACTCGAGCTACCACGGATCGTTTTTATTGGTCGTATCGTCCGGCATCGTGAGCGCGTACAGTCGCATTAATCCCGCGATCGGAGCGCACCTAGCTTTTTCACTACAACGTCACACAAGATAATGACCGATCCCACCTCCGACGCACCTGCTATGGACGAGTTCGCGCAGACTCGAGGTGGCGATGACCTCTTCGACGATGAGATCGTCCCCGTTCCCGCCGTTAAACAGCAACCTGAGCCCGAAGTTCATACGGAACCTGCCCCCGCTCCTGTTGTCGAAAGCGATGCGCCGCCACCTGCTCGAACTGATACCCCATCATCACGGTCGCGTGGAGGCGAAAGGCGAGGACGGGGTCGAGGCAGAGGACGTGGTGGGCGGGGATCGCATAACGGAGGCCGTCGTGGGGATGGGGCTGTGAAGAACAAGCCCGTTGAAAGTGCTCCTGAGCATGAGAATAAGAATGGAGAGGGTTCGACTCCGGAGTCGCCGGCTGAGGGAGATCAGAATGGCAAGGAGGAGACAACGGCGTCGGATCCTAAGCAGGCTGCGGCCGCAGAGGGACCGCGCGTGCCTGCGGTTCGCGGAGACAGAAGTGCTACAGGTGGTTTAAAGAAGGTAGGAGCATCTGCGATATCTAGATGTATGCTTGCTAACTCGCTCCTAGCCGAAACTTACGGAAGAAGAACTGTCCCGTCGTATTGCTGCCGCCAAAGAAAACGCTGCCAAAGTTGCCGCTGCACATGCTCGAGCTGAGGCAGACCAAGCGTCGTTCCTTGAGCGCGAGAAGGTTGCCGAAGAAAAGCGACGCCAGGAACGCCAGCATCGCAAGGCCATGGACAATGAACGGGAGCGTAACCGACTGCGCAAACTGGGTGCCTTGAACGGAAGGGAGTGGGATGCCGAGAAGAAGGAGGAACATTACAATCCCCGTGGTGGCAGGGGTGGCTTCCGACGAGGTATGCACGGTGGTGTGTCTGGATATGCCCGGCGAGACTTTGATTCCCAGCCCAGTGAAGAAGCCAGTGAAGACGCCCGTCCTCCTCATCATCGCGGCCGCGGACGTGGTGGTCGAGGTGGACGTGGCCGCGGTGGTCATCGCGGGCCTCGAGGAGATATTGCAGCGTCCGATGGTGCTGCTGATCAGCCTGCTTCGAGTGAAACCAAGTCTAAAGCATCTGCTCCAGTCATCAATAACGAGTCTGAGTTCCCTTCTCTACCTGGAAGTGAGAAGAAAGAGAAGGAGAAGGCTGGTGAGGAAGCGCCCCCTACCCCTGATCTGCTCAAGTCGGACTCCTTGTCACCAGTGGCGGGAGCTTCCTGGGCCGATCAAGTCGAGTCTCAGTAATCATACATTTACGAATCTGCCCGCTTTCCTGATCATTGTGATATGATTTCAACTCTAATCTGCGCCAAAGACACATGAATTCTTGCACTCATATTCCCCTGAACAGTACTTGTTGCTTGCTTTGATACGATATCATTCGAATGGCCTACGAAAGCCTTGCCCGTCACTATGCGTCTTTCCCAATATCCTTATCCTTCAAGAGATGAAAGCTTTGCTTATACCTGCTTGGTTAGCTATGACGTTATGTACATACCTATCCCGCACCGCAATAGAGGCGAGTCTCATCCCACTGCCTTGAGGTATACGAATTATCCGTACTAGATACCAGGACATCACCTGCATGAACTATGCGATCATCATTCATCCAGTGCCCATCAATACGGTCAGTCCAGAACGGCCCTAAGTCGTGGCATTCTTCTGCGTAGCTTCCATGGATATAACTCCCTGACTAAGCCGAGTGGCAATAACCGGCCAATCAAGCAGACCCCTATGACGTTTGTTCATGATGAGATCACTGCCCTTCATGAGAGATTCTCGACTATAAATTGCCCAATTTCGATCCAAAGACATAGATATTTTATCATTATTATCTACTTAACTCAAGCTGAACATCTAGGTAAGATAATCGCCATCTTGTTATACGAGATTCAAGATATATCATCACCACAACCATCTACCCGAACTATATATATATACAACTTCACCAACATCGCCCTTAAAAAACCAAGTTTAACCAAACTAACAAATCTGGCACCTCCAGAGCAATACAACAACTCTATTTTTTCAAATAACACACATCATAATATATATACAAAATGTCCCAAAACCGTCTCCCAGGCTCCACCCGCGGCGGCGCCAGCTCCCAACCCACACCAGCCAACAACTCCGGCGGAGGCAGCGGCTGGGGCGACGAGGGCTATCCCAAGGGAGGAGGTCTAGGAACAGCGAACCAGACGTCGTCGGACGATGGGGTTCCTGTACGTACTACCAACCACCCCTTTCTTTCTTTACCTACCCTCTTCTTGGAATGCGATGCTAATAGATCAATGTGATTAGTCCGACATCCTCACCACGCCCGCCCTGCAAGGCATCTCGCAGCAAAAGCAAGCCGCAGAGCAAAAGTTCATGAATCGGTGGGATGAAGGACATGATGAGCGGGAGGGAACTTGTGCTTCGGAAGATCATAGCTTCATGGGCACAAAGCCTGGTGGGTCGGATGCGTTGCCCGGTTGGAATGTGCTGAAGGATAAGTTGGGATTGTAAGCTTGCCTGCTGCTCCTTTCCTTTCCTTCCTTCCTGATGCTCTGGCTGTTCCATTTTTGGGATGCGGGCTGATGGGGTGGGGTTGGGTTTTTTTTAGTCTTTATCCGGAGTAATTGGAATTTTTCTTCTGGGGTTGGTAGGGTTAATGAATGATATGAATGACTGGTATCAAATGAAATATGGTTTTGGGAATTGAGAATATGTTGGGTTTTTAAATTGGGGAGGGATGTTAAGATGGGATTAAACAGGCGTTGATAGTAAGATTGATGTGATGTGGTTGGTTTAGTGTATTGGTATAGCATGTATGTCACATTGAAGATGGATGCATTGTTTATGATAGCTCTTCCGTCTCGTCTATTCTTTCTTGGCTGTCTTGCCCTTGATTCGGTCCCGTAGGGCAACTATCTTGCCCCCCAGCCGTCCCTTGAGGGTTTGCGCGGTCAACGCGGAGGCTTCTTCGGCCGTCACGAAGCGACGGACAAGGAGGTTAAAGATGCTGCCGAAGGCGAGCGCAACTACGGTGCTGGTCAGGATGATCACGTTGTATGGCATGCTGAAGTCGGGGGTAGGAAGCGGGAGAAGAAGACTGGTGGTGCGGATATAGATCGGGTGGTTTTGGCCGTTCGCTGCGTCGAGCTTAATTACGGCGGGAGCGACGTTGAAGCCGCGGTTCGCGTCTGGTGGATATTCAGTATACCGCAGAATCGCTTTCTCGAAGTCGTATGTGAGAGTCACGGTCGACGCAGGAGGTATCGTCATTGCCAGCTCCAGCTGTGTTCCACGTTCTCGGTCGATGGCCGGTCGGTAGAAGGATTCACGGATGAATTGGGAGGCGGGTACTTGTTGGCGTAGTCCATCGCGGCCTGTGATAGAAGCCTGCCGTGTGTGGACATATGGTCGTAGAAACCATGGTAGGGTCTCAAAGTAAATGAAGTCGACAGGGTTGGAGTCAGACGGGTTGTCAAAGATGATCCGCATGCCACCGCGCTCTTGGCCGTGGCCAACAATTGTTCTCTCTGCGCTCAAGACAGGCTCATCAAGTGGCACATGAGTGGTAACTTCTTGTTCAGGGATGGTGAGGTCGAACGGACTAGAAGGCTCCAGAGTGAAACAGCGGGTAAAGCCATCCGGCCTCTTGGTCTCCACTGCACCTGGAGTAACAATTACCTCGCGCTCATGCGGCACCCGTAGGCAAACCGGCTCTTGAGAAGCATTATCCGTGAGAGGACATGCGCCACTGAGGGTGCGCCCGAATATTTCCGTCAAGCTCCAGCCTTTTTCCGATGTGCTTTCCAAAGGATAGCAGGTATCATCGGAATGGTAGGGCTTGGATGTGTCGCATGCAAGCTGATCAGAAGGTACAGGTCGCGGAATGGGATTGCCTGTATAGCAATTAGTATATCCTTCAGACCTCAGGTGCCAATAAACTAACCGCGGGGTCGCTTCGACCGGTCAATATCAAGGACAATGTCCACAGTCTGATCGACATGCACGTAACACTCTCCTGGCTGAGGACAGACTGGACTGACATCCACAGACATGCTCTGCCAAGACGCGTCAAACAGCTTATGTCCATCTAGAAGGCTAGAAACGCCTGCCTTGCCCTTGCACGGAAGTAGCTTCAGGAATGGCGTAAGGTTTTCAGTGCAGACCACCTCACCAGGAAGTGTCCCGTGTAGCAGATGCAGATTACTGGAAGCTGGATGGTCTCCCATAAGTTCGAATGAAGCAACGGGGCGAGTGGTTCGGGTTGAGTCGATGAAATTCAGCGAGGCGCAAAACAATCCCGACAGAGACTGAGTCAGGGTAATCCATTTCGCAAAGGCCCTACTGTCCATCAGTATCGTTGCACATGCTACGTCGTCCTCTCCTTCCCGGTCACACATACGCTTCATCATTGGGTGCATCTATCCATGCCCATAGCTCAACACCAGTACCACCCTCTTTGCTCCCATTCCAAGGACGGGGACCCCAGCTCTCAGCATCCCATCGTCCAGTAGTGAACCGCAGATGAAGCTCCTTCGTGTTGGCGTGCTGTAGGATCTGACCTAATGCTCTCGGAAAATAGCGGAAATGGCGTTCATCGAAGGACTCTTGGGACTCATTGCCACGAAAGTTGAAAGATGCTAACAAGGATGATTGCGGGAGTGGTTGGAGGTATAGGCTCTCGTGGTAGTCGGAAGTCGCTGATGTGAACGAAGAGAGCGCGACAACGAAAAGTAAAGTAAGGAGAGAGAGGACCGTCATCACGTCATGCTTGCCGATGCAGAAAGTTCTAGATACTGTGTAGTGATTCTATCGCGTACCTCACTACCACTAGCAAGCCATACACGGAGTGTAAGTTCAATCCTCCGAGCGGCGGAGAAGAACGGTCGATTGCGTTTTAATTCAAGCAAAGCTGAATAACAGGCTGACCGGGCCGCGCGACAGTATCAAGCCTGCATAAGATGTATCAAGCGTCAGAGTGTCCAGATCATGGCACCGATGTCGCCAACTAGTAAGGTGGAAAGGCCGAGCTGTACTCCGCAAATCAGCGGGAATCGACAGGGGGACTCCGGTTCAACTTATATAAGCGCCAGCCGCGGTTAGCGCCACGCCCGCAGAATCTCGACTATCCATCGCAATCTCCATTCAATCTCTCAGTTACGCTCTGACCATTCGTGCTCTCCCCACCCTTCATTCTCCCTCTGGCATCATCCCATCATGGCGGCGGAACAGAGAAAGCTGCTTGAGCAGCTTATGGGAGGTAAGTTGCCCAACCCCAGCTTCTACCAAGCTCTAAACAACAGCTAATCCAATCCTTTTTTCCAGCGGACCAGCTCATAGGTACCGGCGCTCCTTCTCGCAATGCGCAGCTCCAAATCACCGATCCGAAAGTCTGTCGCTCGTATCTTGTCGGCACTTGTCCGCATGACCTCTTCACCAATACCAAGCAAGATCTGGGTCCTTGCCAGAAAGTTCACAGCGAAGGATTGAAGACGGAGTATGAGACCGCCTCGGCGGCCGAGAAGGCCAAATGGGGATTCGATTACGACTATATGCGCGACATGCAGAAATACATCGATGATTGTGACCGACGTATTGATACCGCTCAGCGACGCTTGGAAAAGACTCCGGATGAGATCAGACAGACCAACAACTTGGTAAGGCATACACTCACTCCCATCAACAGGATACTTCACGCAGCCAAGAGAAGACATGGAGCTAACCACATCCCCAACAATATAGCTGAAACAAATCTCCGACCTAACGAAAACCATCAACACGGGCCTCCTCGAGATCTCGGTGCTGGGTGAAACCGGCTCTGTCGCACAGGCCTTGAACGACCTGCACAAGATCCGCACCGCGAAGCACCAGAAAGAAACATGTGAACGCGAATTGAAGAACCTCCAAGATACCTCCGGTCCGTCGGGTCATCAGAAACTGCAAGTGTGCGATGTCTGCGGCGCGTACCTGAGTCGTCTCGATAACGATCGTCGGTTGGCGGACCATTTCTTCGGAAAGATGCACATGGGATACTCGGACATGCGCAAGGGATTCAAGAAGCTCAGCGAGGAGCTTAAGGGACGGCCTCCGCCGGTTCGTCACCACGATGACGATGATGGTGGTTGGGGTGGGCGCTCCGGTGGTGGACGTGGTCCTCGGTATGGCGGTGGTGGTTACAAGAAGCGCGGTCCTCGCTGGTAAAATATTGATGAGGCGTCTTGTTTTCTGTTCCTTTTCTTGGAGTTTATTCTGCAATGCTGTTGTAATTTGTCTGGATTTGCATAGCGCAGGCGTTCTTGTTACTACTACGTCTGGGATGTTACGGATTAAATAAAAATATAATAAACATGTACAGGCCGACTGCATTGCTTTCAACTTTCGTCTCCGGATCCCCTGTGTGGACGTGTGGCAATGAGGACTGAGTAGTAGTGATAGTATTACGATAATATCATCTTCAAGTTGTTTACTGAGTATATGAAGTCATCATAGAGAGAAATGGTATAAAATAGTAGAATAGTGTTCATTTTGACATACAAATTCAACGCATGTAAAACAGCATGCGGATAAGAATAAGATGAGATGAGGGGAAATTCCATAGTAAGAAAGAAAAAAGGAAAAAAAAGGAGAAGGGATCAAAATAACAAACCCAGTGTTGAAACAAACCTCGCTGGGGGTTACATAAAGTCCATTGTTCATGGCAAGCACAAAAAAAAAGCAAAGAGAACAGATCAAATAGATAAGCAGCCCGTAAAGTCGCCCAGATACCCGTTTTGGAAAGAAAAACCCTACCCCAGCACATGGGAATAGCAGTGCGGAAAAAAAGAAATTACACCAAGCCCCCGGAGATAACCCTGCAAAGAAAATTTGGAAAGTGAAGATATGGGAGAAGAAAGACGTTACTGTACAGTAGGCAGTGTTGAAACACCCTTTTCCCCCCTTTCTCTCTTTTTTATTTTTTTGTATTTGTCTCTCTACCGTGCATTCTGCTGTGGACCGTGTCCGTTGGTCCTGGTCGCCGTTGCTAACTCTTCTATCAACATCGTGTAGTTTGAGCTGACTTCTGGTCGACGTAGGAGGATATCCCGGACCACGCTTAGCTGGGAGGCATCTGCGTTCGGGGCATGGGATAGAAGTTGTTGGATAGCGGGTGTATTGGCTTGCGCACCGAGGACCTGTATTGCGGCGGCGAGCCCGGTGAGGGGTGGTTGGTTGGGCTGTGGAGGCTGGTAGGGGGTGAATTGTGGAGCTGCAGGTGGTGGCTGTTGTTGGTGTTGTGACTGAGCTTGATGCCCATAGGGTATTTGCGTTTGAGGCGTTCCGTCGTAAGATGATACAGGAGTGGGTGTGAACTGGGACGCAAGCGGCGGTCCAGGAGTCAGGAAATGCGCTTGCTGAGGCGTTCCCGCCGCCACGGTCAATGGACTGGCAGAAGCACCGGGCTCCTGGCTCGGGAAGTGCGAAGGAGGCTGCACGGATGGCGGATTGGAGTCGCCAGTCTTGACGGCAAAGACCACGAGCATGACGCGCTCCGGTGTCGGATCCTCAAGAGCGTTGTTCTCCAGAAGCTCGATGAACTCCGGCTTCTTGGTGGAGCCTGCTTCAATAGGGATAAGATAGGTATCCTTGACAGCTGGCAATGGATGTTTGCCAACAACACCATATCTCGAACGATCTTGGAAGTAGCTGAATAGCTTGTCGAACCCTGCACGCTCCTTAGGGGAGTCGGGGCGGCTGATCGAGATAACAGTCACATCAGTCGAGGAGCTGAAACGCAGACCGCAGAGGTACTCGCTGGCGAGAGCAATCTCAATCCTGCCATCAATGGACAATGTCGGTGGAGCAAGCTGACTCCATGGTATGCGTCCGCTCAAGTCAGCTCCTCCGACATGCTTCGCGGAGGAAGTAAACTCGGTAATCGGATTCATGACGACCTTGCCATGCCAGATGGACCCTTCGTCATGAAAGTCCTTTGGTGAGTAGGGGGGTGAGTCGGGCTCATCGTCTCCCAATAGTTGATCGATCTCAGCATCAGCCTGAGCCTTGGCTGCTGGCAGCTGCTCACGAATATGAGCAGACACTTCGGGGAAGACCTGCTCATGGCTGGTGCCACCGGGAGAATGAGCCCGCGCGGGGAAGTGGTCCTGGTGAGTGGTGACACCATCGGTCATCTTGGTGTCAACATCCTGTGATTTCGATGCCTTCCGGGTGTCATCAGTCTGAGCCTGGGGGCCAGGGGTCGTTGGGCTCTGGCCAGCGGAGCTGCCATCAGGATCAGCCAAACTGCGTCGAGCGGCAGCAGTAGAGAACACGGGCTCGCTGGCGACATTGTGGTTATCATCTTCAATAAACTCTTCACCCTTATGGGTCCGTCTAATGCGAGGCCCTTGTTCTTGCACGATGATGTGCTGCCGTTCAGCTTCCCGCTTGATTTCGGCATCCTTCTGCTGCAGTTCCTCACTTGCCATGTCTTGGGTGCTCATCTTAGAGAGGGCATCGGGAGATAAACTACCTACGAGCAGACGGTCCCGTAGAGAAGGGTTCTTCTTTACGTTGAACATGATCGTCCGCAATTGTGACCTATACGGCTCTGTGGGCTCCCCAGTTCCTCCGCATATATTCTCATACATAGCGCTCTCGAGTGAGAGAGAAAGCTGCCGGGCAAATTCCTCCACCGATTTCACCCCGGACCCTTCGGGGATTTGGAACGATCCTCGTTCCTGGGCCTGAGTAATCTGCTCTACAAATAACTTGACCAGAGCTTTGGCAACACTCTTGCGAGATGGATGCGTCAGCTGGTCCGCGGATTTCGAGCTATCAGTCACTGCTGTTCCTGCAGCAGAGCTTTTCCGGGAAGAAGGCGCACTGGGCTCCTCCTTCACTTGAGCCGGTTTGGCAGCGGGAGCTGGCACAGGTGTGGCAGGCGCTGGCGGTGATGTCTTCTGCTGCTTCGGTTTCGGTCCCTGGTGTGTCAGTGTTAGCAGAACCCTCCTCTACCGATGATACTGAAGTAACGAGAACTTACCGGTTCAGGCACTTGCGCCTCTTGGTGCTCATCGAATTTGCGCTTTTGGGCGCTCGTCGACTGGGTTTCAGGAACATGTCCATTCTTCTCAGGAGCTGGCGTCTCGGCTTCAGGAACTGGTGCAGCTGGCGCAGGAGGCGCATCAGACGCATCAGGGGCAGCAGTAGAGGCTGGAGCGGGAGTTGAAGAGGTTGCAGCGCGCGCAGGTGTGCTGGTCTCTGTCTTGGGCTCGCTAGCCTTGCGCTCGCTGGTCTGACGCTCACTGGCCTGAGACTCACTCGTTTTGCGCTCGGTTGTCGGAGGTTCGCTGGCCTTGGGCTCGACTGATTTAGATTCGCTTGTCTTAGGCTCAGACGCCTTGGGTTCACTTGGTCTGCCTCTTCGGCCGCCCTTCTTGCCCTTTCTGCGTCGAGATGCCTTCTTCTCCTCAGCTTCCTTGCGCCTCTTTTCAGCAGCTTCCTCCCAAGGCTTTTCACCACGCGCGATCTTTTCGAGAAGAACTTTGTGATTCTCTGGCTTGCATTGCTCACAGAAGTATTCGTCCGGTTCTTCCCCCTTGGCGTATGTCAAGCCCATACAGTCATTGTGTTGCCAGGCCGAGCATCGATCGCAGCAGATCATATCGCGTTCAACATCTTCCTCCTCTTCATATTCGCCACAAATGCATCGAATGATTTCTTCTTCTTCGCTGGGAGCAGGTGTCGGTTCGGCGGAGGGTTTGGGAGGTTTGTCTTTCGGCTGGGCTTTCGCCTTGGACTTCTTCGCGGGCGTTTCGGTGATCATGTCGAGGTTCTTGTGCTGGCCCTTGGTCGAGCGACCGGAGCGTCGTGGTTCATCTGGCTTAGTAGTTAGCTTTCTGTCCCGACGAGAAGTGGAGTGTGCTGCCAGTCGCCACCCATCGGGAAGGCCGACAATGGTCGCACGACTTTCGGTATACAATAGCTTACCGGCCATGATGGAAGTATATAAGGTATTCAAATTTCTACGGCGCGAAGCTTTGGGGGTTGTAAAAAGTCTGAGATAGAGGGATGAAAAAAAGGATTGCGCACGCCACCCAAATCTCGTTCTACGGCATCAGAAGGGCTAAAGTAATACACAGAGGAAGGCTCTGGAAAGTGGCACTTTTTGTTTGTTTGCCCGGTCCACGCAGGTATTACTTTGTCCTTGCACTTCCAGCGGTTTTTAGTCTAGAGACAACGCGTGGGCGCCGGTGGGTGGTGTCACACCAAGTGGTGGGTGGTGCTGAGTCTCGTTTGAATGCTGTCGCGCGCAGCGTGAATGCTTGGCGTGAGCGGGGTCGCGTGTAGACTGCGCGGCGCCTGAGGCGGCTTATCCCCGAGTGAATCGAGAGCTGACGATGGAAGTTTCACAGAATAGCCTCGCAGGAGTGTCTGGTGATGAAATGAACGTCCAGCGACGAGCAGCGGGTGATCTGGGAGATGGAAGAAGACAGATGGTGGGAAGAGAGGAGATGCTGTCGCGGTTGGATCGGGATGCTGAGTCATCAGCACGTGACTGCGGCTCCGCGGAGAATGGCTTGGCAGGCGCCAGTCCGGCTCCTTCTCGTCGCGTCTATTTTTCGGCGCCCTCGAAAGCTTCTCCAGATCCCCACATAGACTGTCTTTTACTTTTCACGATCTTCTTGCCCGTGCTACTCCCCCCTCTCCAAAGTTGACGTGTTGTTTAGAGCTCATCTTAAAATCAAATCAATACCTATAATCTTTTACTATCCCACCTTTACTCAGTACAGATCATGGCAGATGTTCGATCATTACTTCGGAATGAGCTCGCCGCCCGCAAGGGCTCATCCCAGGCAGGGAGCAGCGCAACGAACCGTGTGACCAAAAAGCGCAAGGTAGACCCAGCAGATGATTTGAGGCGCAAGAGGATGAGGGCAAGTGTGCCATCTGGTCCGTCGACCGCGCATACCGTACAACCGCCCAGTGCACGAGCTATCGAGGAGGAGGAAGAGATGGAGGGATCAGAGCAAGACATCGCCGGACCGCAGCCGCCATCTGACATCGCACTTGAGCAGCCAACTGCTCAACCCGATGTACAGCCATCAGATACGCCTCTTGTAGCCGCCGAACCGCCTGCCCCGACCACTCAAACCATCGATGAGGATGAATGGGCCGCTTTCGAGCGCGAAGTTGTCGCCCCCACCCGCATGCCGCATAGGCCGGCTGCGCTCGCCGCGGAAGCGACCATATCAGCAGCGCCAGTATCTGCAGACGAGCTCGCCGCTCAGCAGCAGAAAGAGACCGAAGCGATCAAGAAAAGCCGTGAGGCTGAGGTCGAAGGAGAAAGGGAGGATGCAGCGCGGTTTATGGAAGACGAATTTGATGAAATGGAGCAATTAGAAGAGCGCGTCAGACGTCTGAAGCACAAGCGGGAAGAGCTGAGGAAACTAAGGACCATGGAAGATGCAGAAATGCAGAGAATGGACGAACCTCCTTCCGCTGCTAGCCCGTCAGGGGACCAACAAAATCCACCTGCAGGCGACGCAAATGAAGATGAAGACGATGAAGACGACGATGATGATTATGACGATGACTGGGACAATTGGAGATTTAAATGAATTTAACGCGGCTAAGGGTCGGGTGTGGGAAATACAGGCGTCATTTCATACGAGGTCCCGGACTTTTCTTACTTACAGTGATACCCAATAAGCTATGTGAAATCACAGGCCATTGCTCTTAATTTTCTTAATGGGCCACAGTACACTTTTTATCGGCGTGGGCGGTATCCCGTGTTTCATGATGGGGCAGCGACATATTGTACTCTTAACATACTATCTACGATGAAACTCCTATATGCGAGAGAATGTATACTGGATCAGCCAGAAAGGATGGAAATGTATTTTTACAGTCATTTGCAATCATAAGTATGCTTTATATATCACAGAGGTTGCCGTTTCTGATTCTTCATGGCTGTTGACTGGCATTCTCGCCTTGGCCCTTGGAAGACTGATCTTCGGCTTCTATGTAGCTTCGAAGTCCACCCCTGTTGATCCTCATAGCCTCCTCGATCTCCGCTTCCCCTTCTCTCAAAAGATGTTTACCGCGAACAAGCTCACCCTTTTGCTTTCTTTTTTCCTCTTGTACCTGCTTCTCTCGTTCTGCCAGCGCTTTCTCGCGTCTGTCACGTTCAACCTTCTTTCGTTCTAGCTCTTCTCTTTCCTCGGCGGTCATGTCGCTTTCCGGAGCAGCAGGCAAAGTAGAGATGTAGGCCTCAATAAGCGGGTTCCGCACTTTAGGTGTGAGGGCGATGTATCTGAGATCGGTTATGATGGACGGAGGGAGAGCCTCCAGATTAGATGACCGATTTAGTTCGTGTAGTGGCACAGATTTTAGTAGCGCTGAAAGATCAGACTTTCGCGTGCTTTCTGACTGCTTCAGTCGAGAAACCAAATCGCGATAGTACTTCTCTCGATCTTTGTCTGACATTTGCGCATCCTTCATCTCTGGTTCCTTTTTGTATTTGCGCTTGAACTCGGGCCAATACAACTTTGGTGTGGCGTGTTCCTGGAGGAAGGCCAGGTACTTGATGCGCGGGTCCTTCTTTTCTTCCTTCTCTTTGCGTTCTTTAAGTTCTTGAATCCGGTCACGACTCCAGTTGGACCAGACCTCACGGCGCGTTTTCATGTTTGGTAGCACAGTGTAGCGGGTATCATCAATGATCCGGCCTTCTTCGATGATCTTCTCCCACGTGGAGAATGGGTTAATGCGATAGTCGTCAAGAAGATCACGGAATAAAGCTGTGGCATCCTCCTCCGTGAGCGGAAGTCCCTCTGCGCCTTCTTCCCATTCTTCTTCTCCGGGTTCGCCGTATTCGCCAGGGTCAAGGCCATATTCTTCTCCCATTGCCGCCAGTTGGTATTCCATATCCTCTTCCGTGAACTCCAACGGCTGTTGGTCGTCCCCTTCTTCGGTTCTCGGTCGCTTGAAAGGTTGCTCTTCCTCACCCTCGCTGTCAGTAACTTCGACCTCCTCATACTCATCGCTCTCTTCCCCGGCCGCTGGAGCAGCACCAGCTTCTGCTCCTTCCAACCGTGGTTGCTCGGAAACCTTAGCTTCCGGTTCTTCTTTGGCGACAACTTCCATCTCCTCGCCCCGCTCCTTCCTCTCTTTTGCCTCTCTCTCCAAGCGATCGTATTCGAGGACCCCTATCAGGACCTCCGGGGGGATCTTCCAAAAACTTTCGTTTGTTTCGGGGTTGTGGACAAATCTCCTTCCCAGCTTCGTCTTCACGAGCACCCATGGCGTGCAGCCAGGAATGTCATGTTTGGTTTTCGGCCTATCCTGTGGCCCACGGGGCTTGCGGTCATGGTAGCCTCTACCCCCACGAAAGCCTCCACATGGCTGACTATCAAACGGTGCTCCGTGTGGTGCAGCGCCATGCCCAAAACCATGAGGGGCATAGGGAGTCGAAGAGAAAGGAGGAAGTGTATCCGGAGTTAGAAATGGCGCTTTATTCGAGGGTTCTGGTGCTGCGGCGGGCGGAGGCTGTACGGGGGCGGCCTGAGGCCTCGTATATGTGGATTGCTTTGTCTGCGAGTTGTAGTAATACAGATGACCTAGGTTTGATTAGAGCGACTCTAAGAGGAATCCAGGTAACTGGCAATCAAACCTGAAGGAGCTTTATGTTCGGTCCATCCTGGAGGTAACGGAGGGGGCGGGGTATACGTAGATTTGAGCATTGCAGCCACAGAGGATCTAAGAGAGTGCGCGAAAAGGTATCAATTAAGTGACAATAGTATAACAAGACATTCGGTTGCAGTTTGAGGCGCGAAGGAAAGATTTCCGGAGCGGGATCGCGCAGGTCGAGAGCTTTCGCAATGAGAGTTCGGGTGGTCCGAGCTTGGCGGACTGACGGTCAGCCCGGACGCTCAGAGGTGGACGCGCCAGGGCGAAGTTGCCTGGTCACCACTCTGCGGGAGCTCATCCGACCTTCCTGCACAGCTCGCCCGTCACTCATTCCTCATCTCCAATCCTCCCTTTCCTCTGTCTGTTTTCCTCCACAAATAATATTCTCCCATAATCTACTCAAGTTGACTTCGATTTCAAGATGTCACGGAGATACGATTCCAGAGTATGCCTGATTCCCAATTCCGTCGTTCCTTGGGAGCTTTAGCTGACCCGATGACGTCCGTCCACAGACTACCATCTTTTCCCCCGAAGGTCGACTCTACCAGGTTGAATATGCGTTAGAAGCCATCTCGCATGCCGGTACCGCCCTAGGAATTTTGGCCAAAGATGGAATTGTCCTCGCAGCGGAGAAGAAGGTCACCAGCAAGCTACTGGAGCAGGACACATCTGCGGAGAAGCTATACACGCTGAACGAGTATGCATCACAGCCCCATCGAGTTGCAGGTCTTTCTGTGAAATGAAAATCTAATGTTTGGGCAGCAACATGATCTGTGCTGTTGCTGGTATGACGGCAGACGCAAACATCCTTATCAACTATGCCCGACAAGCTGCCCAGCGGTATCTTCTTACCTACAACGAAGAAATTCCTTGCGAGCAACTTGTCCGTCGTCTGTGCGACTTGAAGCAAGGATACACCCAGCATGGTGGTCTCCGTCCCTTCGGTGTTTCGTTCATCTATGCCGGCTACGACCCTCTCCGGGAGTTCCAACTGTACCAGAGCAACCCCAGCGGTAACTACGGTGGCTGGAAAGCAACTAGCGTGGGAGCAAACAATGCTAGTGCTCAGAGTCTGCTGAAGCAAGATTACAAGGAGGACTGCGACCTGAAGGAAGCTTGCGCTATGGCCGTTAAGGTTCTTAGCAAGACGATGGACTCGACCAAGCTGAGCAGTGAGAAGAGTAAGTCATGACCGATCCTTGTCCGTGGTTACCCGCACATGGGTACCACGCTATCACGGTACCGTGACCTATGCTAATGCGTTGGCCCCTACAGTCGAATTTGCTACGGTAGGAAGGACGCCGGAAGGCAAGATCTACCACCACCTGTGGAATGCTGATGAGATCAATGCCCTTCTGAAAGAACACGGGCTGGCCAAGGTTGATGACGAGCCCGAGGCTGGCGAGATTAAATAAATGAGAAGACGACCCGATTTTGCTACTTGACCAGATAATCCCACATGTTTCCTGTGCAGTAATCGCGCACTTTTCTGCCCAACGTTTACGATGTAGATTCTCTACAGTCTCGTATATGTACACTCGTATGACAGGTCGCTTCAAATCACTCACGGCACGGGTGAGGCCTATAGCTGCATCTGAAGCGCAACTGACGTCGGCCACGGGTGACGTGGCAAGCCTTGACGTCGAATTAAGCATCGGGCAATTCATTGCAGGTCTACACTCGCGTCTGTCGACCGGAAATGCCCAAAGCCATCACTGATCTTGGGACATGAATGGTCCACGTAGTCTTCAAGCCCTCGAGCACCCTGGGCGCTTGAACAATGCTGAATGTTTCGGAACTTTAATGAGATGTGAGGCCCCATATATATAAGAATCCCCGGGATCCAAGCTGGTACCTTGTTTGCAACACAACCACATCAATACCAAGCGAATGCACCGGCTGTGAATGTGTTTCGATGTCAACCTGTCCGGTCTTCTTGCGAATTTGACGGCCGTGTCATGGAAGCATCGTAGGCGCGGGGTTCTTGAGAGAGTCTCTATGCATACCCCCAGGATCACTCAAAGATGAGTCAAGCCCACCGAAGTGCAATAGTGAGATATCAGTGTTAGCTTTCTTTCCGGATTCTAATGAGAAGATTGAAGACCGCAGAAGGCAATCACTAACTTGGTAGCTTTGGTGTGGAGAGGAGACCATCACGTGCGATGGACCGCCCAAACGCGGGGTACACAACTCCATGTTCAGCTCCGTATCTCCCTTCCCAATCTCGCCAGCCTCTGCTATCAACAATCATGATACAACCATGGTAAAAAGAAAGCAGTTCGTACAGTTGGCCTACTTGATTTGGGCTTTGGGCTGACGGCTTTCCGACTCTAACCCCACTTCTCACAATGGCCCCTACTTCTGTTCCAATTGTCCTGGGAGTCTGGTTACCTTGGTCTGGCGAGCCGCTCGTTAAGGACATGGGCGCTTATGATGTGGAACACCTCCTCGAGAACGCAGCACGAAGGTACCAGATTTGCACAAATCAAACCTTTTCATTGGATGTTATGAATTCTCGACAGCAGATTGCTTGATTCACACTTTTCCCGCCAACCATTGCATGGGCCTGGCGTGAAGAACCAACCTCCATTCGATCATCAGAAATAAAAAGGGAAAAAGAAATATTAGGAAAAGAAAGGTGTCAAGTGACACAGCCCTTGTGAGGCACAGAATTTACAAACAGGAATATGGTCTGAAACCGAAAGACAGTACCAAAGAGGGAATCCTAAGCACAAACGAAAGCAACAGCAAGTGGCCCAACGCATGGCCCCTGAAAAGTTTCCATCCTTCTTTCATGAAAGTGCCTTTCTTCTCTCGTCACGCTCCCGCTGCAGTTGGCGAATTTCTTTTTCGAGCTCCATGACGAGTTTCTGTGACCGGTCCATGGACGCTACGAGAGTGCTTCCCTCCCGTTTCCATCGATTCAAGCGTTCCACCTCGGCGCTTCGCCGCCGGTACTTGGTTTCGATCTTCTCGCACAAGCGGCATAGTGTTGTTTCAAACTCAGTCATATTGACGAGCCTCATGCCGCAGGTCTCCCCAGTGCGGTACTCATAGTTGCAGCGGTGAGCGAAACTTGTCCAGCTCCAGTCTCCGCATGCAAATCTCTTCTGGTTGTAGAAACACATCCCTATCATTCAATCGTCAGCTAAAAAACTAATCAAGCCGTGGTCAAACTCACTTGTTGCTGATACAGTTTGTTGTTTCACGTCGCTACTTTGAGTTCTATTGGCTCTGCCAAATGCTCCTGCCGCGCTGCAGAGGTTTGATAGGCTAAGCTTGCACGAGGCCTATGGAAGGTTGCCGGTTGTTTTAAAACGAAACACCTTATTCTGAATAACAACGATTTAGATCTCACGATAGCTCTTGAAGAAGCTGAGTCTGAAACGGATAATGATCCAGATTCAATCGACTGGTAGGCCCCGGGTCCTATTTATGTTTCGCAGGAAGCTTCTATGTTACGGCCCAGCCAGTTCTCGTACTCTACCAGTCAACCGTCGATCAACCCCTCAACATACGATGGCTTATCGACTACGGCATTCTGCTATCACTTTCACATCACATCCAGTGCTTTTCCGGTTGGCTATGCTGGGGTCTTCCAGCTGTGGAGACACAAGTTATCCACAACCTTCCTAATCAGGTCAGTTGTAGTCAGTGGATGCTTCACGGATGCATGCGTGTTGCTGTCGTGGCGGTATCATTTCTCCTGAATCAGGTTGAACCCTCGAAAATCCCTCATTTGATATGGACGGTTTTCGTCCTCCTGGCTGGGATTGCCATTGCAGCCTTGGTTGTTCCAACGATCATCCCCGCTTCCTTTCTGCGTCTCCGTTGCGTATGGAGTCGCCCTTCGAGAAGAAGACATGCCTCACCCTTACTGAATCAAAGCTCCTGCATGAAAAAAAATAACCCGTTTCTTTATTTTGTGCCAGCTGTCAGATTGTCCGTCTCACCGTCCAAACCTTTTTTGCCCCTTCTGCATCCAAGAAAATAAACCTAGTGTTCCGTCTTGAGTGGATGGAAAAAGCAGTTTCGCTTTGCAGGACCAGTGTGGTTACGGCTATGATCATTTAGTCTGGTTTGTTAGATGCCTTACCACCATAACCTTGTGGCTAGTCACTCACAACCAATTAGTCCGCTCGCGAACTGGCCTAGTGTCATAACCTCTGATACGGACTTTGGGCCGAGGGCAGGGTGACTCCGAGACATCTGCCCAGTTGGACTTTACTTTTTTTACTTTTTCCCCTCTCAACTCTTTACCTGACACCTAGTATGCCCAAAGGGTCAGGGTTCTGTCACCTGGTTGCAACCCTACCAAGTTCCTTCTACCATGTATCCCGAACACTGGTCCACACAGGCATCTAGCCCCCGTGCCAATGGTCATCTCGTGTACTCCGCATGTTTCCGTCTGGCTGATATCAACCAGATGTTTCTGCATCTAGTGGCGAAAGACGCGTCACTAGAAGCCCTTCATTGGCGTCCATTGCTTCCTTGGATTTTACCTCGGGAGTCAACATGACATGCAGTTGCATGATGAGCTCAATATTCCATTAGGGACTGATTCTCTTCAGCTGATCTCCCACATCTGCAGACGAATAATCCCGCATTTGTCCCCGCTCGGGTGCAGGGTTTATCTTCATTTGCCTGCCTTCCTCGGCCAATATGATAGGATGTCGGCTCTGTACATCAGCCATGGCAAATACTGACTGTGGTACGGTGCACCTACTGTCGAACCCGTGCAGCTGCACTAAAGCTCGGAGACTCACTGACGTGGCACGCTTCGTCTGGTCGAGGTGCTCGAAATTTCGGCCTTTCGTGGTGAAGAGGGGGGTTTTCAACGAGAAGATGGTGTACAGAATCCATAGCAACTCGAGCAAGGCAGCCTTCAGTTCCTCAGCATTGGCCTATAGGGGGTCAATGTACCCGAATTTCCGCTTGTCCGGACATCCTTCGAGATGATTGCATGAAACTCTCTCATGCGTCTGTACATCCATCACAGCATTGGATCGTCGGTCAACCCGCCTAGATTCCCTGTGTGCTGAGAATCCGAGCATGGAATGATGTCGGTTGCCAACTCAGCGACTATCGGTTCTGGCTTACAGCCGCAACCTGGAGGCAACACCGGTTACCAACTGTTCTGCCACTCACGAGC